ATTTAATTTTAATTATTTACTCCCATTTTATTACAGGAATTTTCGTTTATTTTTATTTCTTTTTAAGATCCTAAAAAGATAAAAATATAAATTATCTATGAACTATTATTAATTTGTAAAAACTCAAAATATAATAGTTATTTTGAAAAAGAAATATATTCATTCAAGCAAGAACTGACGGGCATTTATTAAAAAAAAAAAGTGCTTTGATCTGTAAAGTGATTTACTTTTTGATTTTGTTGATCAAAAGCCGGTTAATGGAGGAAAAAAATTACTGAATGTTTCGGGGAAAAAAAAAGAATTACATGTAATATCTCAAATATTTCTAATACATTACTACCGGGTAGATCATCTTCTTTAGAACTAGGTGGAGCATACGGTGAGGCATTGTAAAGTTCATCAAATGTACTTGCATTAAAATCATTAAGAAATAGCTCAATAGAAAAATTAGTAAAAAAATGGAGGTTGATAAGAGGATGACACTTTGAAATTTGACAATGATGAGAACATAGTGTGTTCCCAAAAGACAACATGAAGTGAAACTCTGAGTTTTTGTGACACAGGATCCCAATAACAATATCCTTTTTATATAATTCCATAATCGAAAAAACAACATAATCGAGCTCTAAGCTCTAACTTGTTATGTTCATAAGGTGAAAGAAGAACAAAACATGCACAACCAAAAACCTTAAGGAGATTATAGGCAGGAAAAATACCATGTAAACGCTTGTATGGAGATTGGTTATTAAGGACTGATGATGGAATGCGATTAATAGGATAAATAACTGTAAGAGCAGCTTCATCCCAAAATCGCTCTAGACAAAAAGATGAAATGAGCAGAGCATGAACATAATTAAGGGTGTGTTTGTGTTTGCGTTCGGTTCACCCATTTTGTTCAAAAGTGTAAGAACAAGATTGTTATGTCAGTGTTCCTTGTTTTCTCAAAAAGGATTGAAGTTTAGTACCAAGATATTCAGTAGCATTGTTAGTTCTCAAAACTTTGATAATTTTAGAGAACTGAGTTTTTATCATGGTAGCAAAATTAATATAAATTTATGATAATTCAGAGCGATTTTTCATAAGGTATATCCAGGTAAAACCAGTATGATCATCAATAAATAACACGAAGTACCTAGAACTCCCCATGGTGGGTGTAGGAGATGGACCTCAAACATCAAAATGCACAAGATCAAAAGGAATAGTATAATGAGAATGATTACTTGAAAAAGATAAAGCTGGTTGCTTTGCAGATTGACATGACACACAATGCAAGGATTCATTCGAAACTAATCCTAATAAACCACAAGAGATAAGTGGACGAAGTTTACCAACTGAGGTATGTCCGAGCCGTGAGTGCCACAAATGGAGAGTCAAAACATTAATAGCAACACAAGCTTGCAAATTTGTTGGTATGGAATTTGTAAAGACTCTGATTCAACATCACAAAGCAAGGTTTAGATGAATCAATCATTTGGAAATGATGATGTATCAATTTTATTATCAGGAATATCTAGATAGTTGAGCTCAAACAAACACCCCACCTTGCGACCAGTTCCAAGAAGTTATCCTATCCGTAGGTCCTGCACACGACAACCATAAGCAGAAAATGTTACTTTAAGACCAAGATCACATAATTGACCAATAGATAGAAGATTATAACTAAGTTTTGGAACTAAGAAGGTATTTGGTAAAGTCAATGACTTTGTAGAAATATTGCCAATGTGACTAACATTCATAGGGGGTACCATAAGCAGAATAAATATCAGGAAATGAATTATTTGGTGACATTGAAGAGAAATGAGTAGTAATCGAAGACATATGGTTACAACAACCAGAATCAAAATACCAAGGTTTGGTACTTGGAGCAGTAAATAAAGCAATATGAGCATTAAAAAGATTTGATATCACCTGTTTTAGGGATTCAAGGTTGACATTAGATTGGTTTATCACTTTTTTGACAACCATAGCAGTAGTAGGATGAGTTACAGTCCTTTCAAAACTTGTCATAGAATAAGTAAAACTCACAATACTGAAGAACTCTAAAAAATATGAAAAAATAGATGCTAAGATCAAAATAACAAACCAACAAAATACCTCAGAAAAAGCTTGAGAATCGAGGATAAGCAATCCAATATGCAGGAGAAGAGATCCCAACAACAAAGTTTCAAATCTGGAATGGAATTGGAAATCGAACTCCAAAAACCAAACGACAATGATAAGAAAAAACAACCAGGAGCTTATCGCTTTGATATTATGTTAGAAATAAGAAAAGAGAAGAAATATTTGAAGAAAAGTTCATTGTTTTTTTTTAATAATACTATATGTACAATGGTCTATATATAAGTGTTTATAAAAAAAATATTTTAATATATAAAATATACAAAGAGAATATTCTAAAATATAAAATATTTACAATGATTATAACTATAATCTAAATAATTGTGTTCACATCTTAACAATAATTAAGACTACAACC